ATTTTCTTCCTATATCCCAATATATTGTTTTGTGATGGTACTGAGCATGCACACTCCACTTTGCATGAATATTTAATATAAACACTGAAACTCACAGATCATGCAAAAGTATTTTTATCCAATGGTTTCAACCTTTCTACACATCAAACTTATTTTTTAACATAGTTGTTAAAAGGCAGCAGACATGAATTTAAATTTCAATTTATTTCTTACTACCCATGACCTTCTCTCAGAATAGAAGTTAACATGCAATTAAATGGACATCACCAAAGAAACAAAGGATAGCGCAGTCATAAACAGAGAAATGGGCCCTAAAACTTTATGGGAAGTAGTAATTACTGAAGAATATTAGTATTATCTTTTCTTATATGTTATATTTGTTATTTAATAACCTTATCGATAACATATTATTTAATAAATAGCAAATTCTTCAAATGGTTTGTCTCTCATTACTATAATTCTGTTATAAAGTCTATTCTTTTCCTCATTTTCCTTGCCTACTCTTATGCTATTAAAAAAATATTAAAGAACATTAAAAACTAAATTTCCAAATATATTGTGTTTTAACCTCCAAATAACTTCTTGTTAGAATGAATATAAAAATAATTCTGAAACCACGTAGGCCATTTTGAGGTAAGACTCCTTTCTAAGACTAAGTTAGGGAGAAATGCAAATAAATATTTAAAATAATCTAGATATATACTTTTCATCAATGCAATCTTTAGATGCATGAATCAATGTTTAAAAAATGTTTGTTTCTACCTAACCTATGCAAATATAAATATAAAAATATTACGTGTATTTGAATAGTATGTAGGTTTCCATATAGATGTAATATATACACATGTAGCTACCTGAAAAACCCTTTTACATTTTCCTAATAAAATATACTGTTCATTTTGAGTAATCCTAATTCAATACTTAAAACTTCTATTTAAATTTCCATATAGTACAACAGTAAATAGACTACATTTACTATAATCTATTTATAAACTATATAAACTACAGTGAACTAGCCAATAAACACTATGATTAACATACTATTAAAAATTTATATTTAAATATAAATTTAAAGGTCAAAGAAATAAAACTACAATTTATTTGAACATCATTTTGGCAATACCAATTTAGCAATTTTAGTAAAAAGTATAAATTCGTATATGTAAATATCAAACTGTAAGTCATCAAAAGCTTGGCATTGTTATTATACATAATAAAGTTAAGCAAAGTTAGGAGTATGCTCAAAAAGCTTTTTAAAATAATGCTTTCTTCCTCCATTAGTTAGAATAAACTGCTTAAATCTCTTAATTTTTTTCATACCCCAAGCTTATTAATAAATAACACATTCCCAAATAAGTATTCAAACCCAGAAATTAGTTTTGAAGAAGAAATTCTTAATTTCAGTTACCATGTCAGGAATACATTTGCTATTTTAGTCCTTCAATATTTTGTGAGAAGTAGTATACTTCTCAAAGATTTATAGATATTTGACATGTTAGTCACCCTAAATTATTTAAAGTAGTATTTTTCATTAAAATACGAAAATATATACCTATAGACAGAGAAAATTGTTTCTTAATAAGTGCATGAAAGAATACTAAATGCAACAATCTGTTTTTAAAATTTACCTGAGTAGAGGTCAGTGTGTTAGTTCCTTCATAGAGGAACTCTACACTCTCAATTGTGTATTTCTGTGGAGAATATAAGAAAAGTATATTTGATGATATGCAAAAGAACTGTCCCCGCCTTTGCAATATAAACTGTAACAAGTTAATCTCTCAGTGAATAACTCATTTCAAGTAAACAGAAAAAAGTTGAGTTGGAAAAACGAAAAGGTTATACATCTTCTGCACAATCTCTTTCACGTAGTAACTGAGAAATGAAGTAACCATAAAACATTTAAAAGCAAAACCTGTAGAAACAAATCTCTGCTAGGCTGATGAGAAAAGGATCCTCTAAGCTAAATAAAACCCCGTCTGGACAGTTCCCTGGTGCTGAAGTTACACAGGCGCTAAACCGATGCTTGGGTGCTGCTTTCACTCCTCCCACCCTTGGAAAAACCCCAGCTGCCTAGACTGTGTGCACGAATAGCAGAACTTCACAAGGCAGGGAGGATCCCAAACTGCAGTAATGATAGGAACCGGAGTCTCTTCAGGATTAAACAGATTTACTATGATAGTTGCAAACAGGAAGAGCAGCAGAGTGCAGGGTGTTAGCACTCGCCTAGGGGGAGGGGCTGGAAGATGGCGGCGGCCGCACACCCACCCGAGACGCGACAGAGCTTAGGCCCCTCGCCCGCGCCGCCGCCCGCCTGCCCGCGGGGACCGTGGGCAGCTCTGCTGTTCCCAGCGTTGAGGGAAGAGCCTCCCTGCGGAAGCGCGGGACTAGGAGCCCCCCGCGGCGCCCGCAACCCGGGTCGGCGCGCCTTCGCCCAGGTCCGGCCAGGGAGCACCTGTGCACGGCCATATTGGATTCCTTGCCCCAGTCACTGCCTCCGCACGGGGGCGGCGGGAAAAGAGAAGGGACGCGTAGACCCTGGGTTCAACCCCAGCCCCGCCGGGGTCCCGGAGCAGAGCTGACCCGCAGGGAAAGCCCGGGGGGCGCCGGGGGAAATTACAACGACCAAAGGTTCGCCATCCTCACCTCAGCCGGCCTGGGCGCCCTCCCTCCCTGACACACACCCCCGCGCTCAAACACCCAGAAAACAGCCCAGGCGGCCGGCGCTGGCCGCAGCCCTCGTGGCCCTGGCGCCGCCGGCGGAGAGGGAGGGCGGCGATCCGGGGTGTGCAGGCGGCCGCAAGGCAGCGGCCGAGGGGGCGGAGGGCAGGGAGAGAGGCGGGAATATGGAGCCGTGTCCTTACTTCAGCACGGACTGCTCCTTCTCCTCTTCTTTCTTCTGCCGATCCATGACGGCCAGTATGATTTTCCTCTCCTCCTCCGTGAGGTGGCTGAGGTCCGGCATCTCGGGCTGCAGGGGCGGCTGACAGGCCGCCGGGGTGGGAGCCGGGCGGCCCCGGGGCCCGACAGGAGCCGACATGTTTGGTGTAGCCGAACCAGCCTAAGGAAGCAGGGAGGCAACTCCACTGGCAGCGGCGGCACCGGCGCGGGCGGCTGGGGCAGCCTCCGGCGCTGGGACAAATACATACAAATCAATGGCCTTCAATCCGAGGCGGCAGCCCCCCTCCCCCAAGACAGAGCGGGGGGAGGGGAGGGCGAGCGCGCGGGGAGGGAGGGCTGAGGAGTGCGCTCCGGGAAATGTTTCTTCTTCCCGGGGGCGAAGGGCTGGCAAGTGAGCGGTTCGGGGGAGAGAGGAGCTGGAGGCCCGGACGCGGAGTGCGCGGAGCGGCGGGGGAGGGTGGTGGAGTAAGGTGGCGGGGACAGCTAAGGGTGGGGTGACTGGAGGGAGCAGGCGGGAGGGCGGCGCGCGGGCCGGGGAGCGAGTGTGTCCGGCGGGGGTGGGGGCGCGCGTCGCCTCTGAGGAGAAAGGGGTGCCTGCGAGCCAGGCCCCCAGAGGAGTCCCGGGAACTCGCTTGGAGCGCCCGGAGGCGGCGTCCAGCTGGCCGGAGGGGCACCCAGGCGGGAACGGGGAGGGTAGTGGGGAAGCAGGGGCGATTTCCCACACAAGCAGCTCGGCAGTCCCGCCAGCTGACGCGTCACAGGGCTCCCGCGCACCGCGGATGGAGGACCCCTGGAGAAACGCCCGGGAGAGGGTCGCGGGGCCAGAGACTGCCGCGGGAGACCCCGCCCCCACCCCACCCGGGGCTAGAGTGGGGAAGCGAAAGCCGGGAAGGAATGACAGGGACCAGTGGCGGAGAGCGCCAGGGCCAGGGCCCCTAGGCTGCCAACGCCCCGATCTAAACGAGCTCTGACCCGTAGAAGGGTCGGGCGCCGGCCCCTCCTCATCACGCGCCCGCCCGGGGTCGCTCAGCCGCCGCCGCCGCCGCCGCCGCCCCTTGGGTCCAAGGAGTCGGCGCTCCCCGCGCCGCCGCCGCTCGGTGCTGCCGCCCGCACCTCCTCCGCCCCTCCGCTTCCCCGGCTCTTCCCGCGGGGACCGCGTCACCTCCCTGCTGCCGAGGCCGGGCACGGCGGGCGGCTCACGAGCGGCTGCCACCCCTCCCGAGCACGTTCTAGGGGCTGGGGCCGGGCGGGGCGTGGGGAAATGTAAGCGTAGGGGGGAGGGGCGCCCGAGTTTTCCGGGACGAAGGTGTGGAGAATGTGAGCGTGTGAGGGGGCGCCCGAGGGGTTTGGAGTCGGGAAAGGGGGGGTGCCAGGTGTGACGGGGGAGGTAAAGGAGTGTGAGTGTGAGGGTGCCTGAGGTATTGGGGGCGGGGCGGGGAGCTTGTGAGAGTGGCGAAGCGCCGGAGTGTCAGGTCTGAAGACGAAGGAGTGTGACGGGGAGGGGGGAGCATCGGGTGTCGGGGGGGTCCTGCCCCGAGGTGAGAGTGTGCACGCAAGGTGGGCAGACAGGGCTCCGGAGAAGGGGACGTGAGCGTGGGGGCGGGGTCCCCTGGGGGGGTCAGGGATGGGGGTCCAGGAAGAGGAAGAGCGTAGAGGGGCCTCTAGGGATTATCTGAGGGGGAAGGGAGGTGTGAGCGACTGCGGAGCGCAGGTGGTCCTGTGGGCTGGGACTGGGCTAGGGGCCCCGGAGTGAGGAAGTTCTGGAAGACCGTGCTGGTGGCAGAGAATGTGCGGAGAGGTGCTGAGGGGAGGACGGAAGAGAAATTGGGAGCGTTAGGCTTGCACAGGGTGTGAAAATGAAAAGACTATGGGAGGCTGTAAAGGTGAAAGGACTAAGTATCATCCGGAGAGCCAACCGCTTAGGCCAAGGACTTCCGTCTGTTAGGTCCTTTTTGGCGCTCACTCTAGTCTAGAAAGAAGAGGCAGAGAAGCAAGGAGATCGGGTTAGAGTCAGAGTCTGATTTTCGAAGCACAAAGATGGACTCAGCGAAAGAGGACGAGGGTAGACGAAACACCAGCTCCTGGAGAACTGAGGTAGCCGCCGCCGGCTTCTGCTCTGCGTGGGGCTGGGCGCCGCCCAGACAACCCTCGTGGGCGGGGCGGGGCGGGGAGGCCAGAGCTGGGGGTGGATCGCCTGGGATCACCCCTTCTTCCGGGCCCTCAGGGCAAGCACTGCAGTGACAGAGAGTTGGAGAGGGGGGCTGGTGTGTACACACCCCTACCCAGCCTTCCACTCTCAGGCTGTTTAGTACCAAGCCAGATTACAGTCTGATGAGTAATGTAAAGCCTTTGGGGTTTGTATTATATTTACCTTCTTGGTTGTAGTAAGCTCTCTCCCTCCTCCCTCTGTTCCCCAGGTACCATCTGACTAGCTCCTAATTTAAGAGAGCTGGGGACAGAGAAAGCAGCCCCAGAAGTCTCTTGTGATTTCTAAGCTTAAATTTCTATTTTTCTTTTCTCCCATGCCTTGTAATTGGGAAAAGGAAAAAGTTTACTCAAGTGCTTTTATTATCATTATTATTATTATTACTTATCTGTTTCAGACAAGACTCATACTCCAAATAATTGGGTTTTCATCTCTTTGGCGCTAAGCAAACCAGGTGAGATCATATGAATCCCGATTTATTTAATTTCATTTTAGAGTTAAAGAATTTTTATAAATCTCTAATCCAACTCATTATCCTGTGGGAAATTGAAGAGAAAGAACAGCCAGCTAGTAAACTGCAGAGCTGAAACTATTAATAGAACCTAGATATTTTTACTCCAATTTGAACCATAATGGTTTTTGACCCTAGCTCCACATTAAAATTACCTGGGTCACTTTTTTAAAATACTTCCTGGGCCCAACCCTAGTTCAGTCTCCGGGGTTAGGACCCTGGTTGTCGATGTAGTTTGAAAGTTCTTCAAGTGAGTAATGTAAAAGTTGAGAATTACACCATGTGTATTGCAAAATAGATAATGAAGGAGGAAAAAAAATCACAAGCAAGAAGTAGAAAACAAGCAAAAAGAACACTTCTAAAGAGAACTGAATTTTTTACTTAAAATAGAAATGTTGAATTTTACTATCCACACTTTCCTCTCATATGCAGTGACAGGTACCATTAAATACAGGTATCTTCAACTTTACCTTAGGAAACCCTAGTGTTACTAAAATACACTAAGCGCTCCTTTAAGTGAGAGGAGAGCAGAACTAAAAATAATCAAAAAGAATAAGTGGAACACTCTACCTTATTCAACTATTTCTGAGCCAGATTTGAAAATAATACCACCTCCCACCCCCAGCCACCAACCCAAGCAGAACCAGAAGCCAGAATACACACACTGCTTTGAGGTTGAAACTTCAGTGTTAAAATAGCTCAGTTATTTTGAGTATATAAAATGTGAACTTAAAAGTATTTGTCCAAAACGGACAATTTTGGCTTCCTTTACAGTAAAAGGTCACCTCCTGGGCCCTGCACTGTTTTCTAGGAGTCACATAGCATGCTGGGCACCTGAGGCTGTTTCTCCCTGCAAACCCCCCCTCCGTGCCCCCTGCCTCTCACCTGCCTGGAGACAGTGCCAGCTAATGAAATATAATGGACATGAGCCCTATCACTGGAATGCCTGACTTTTTATAGGATTGAAGCAGAAGTGAGTGGGCTTACTGTGTTTCCTTTTTACAGTCTACTACAACTAGATGTGTTTTTCCTATTAAAGAGAATTCTTAGGAGTGGAAGTATATTAAAATCATCCTCCATGGTTAGTCACACACTTTTATGAAATAAAAATGTGTCACAGTATTTATATATCATATAATTTGAACATATATCATTTTGAATTTTTAAATAGGCTTTAGCCTAAATAAGCTACTTTTCAAAATACTCGCCCCAATTTAACATAACATTTCTAGGCTCAGAACTAAAGAAAGTAAAATATCTTCACAAGATCTCTATCTTTTGGTCCTTCTACAATATGGATCTTAGAGGTGTTCTGTTTTGTTTGTTCTGGTTTGGTGTCTTACTTAAAATGTTTATCGCCTCTCACTGTGTCCTGTATGGCTTTCTATTTTTCTTGAGCATGTCCCTCAGTGTATGAACACATTTGAAGTTGAGTCAAAACTACAATATCATGTTTAACTTTAGAAGTAACTGGCCATCTTGATCACTGAATTTTCGAAGTCTTTACAGGCCATAAACTAATCCCAAAATGCAAGTCCTTTCTGCAGTCCTATAGGCTTGTGAAGCCTGTGAGTTTATGGACTTCCATTTTTACATGTGAATAAGGGCTACTTGTAATCTATGAAATATATCTAAAGTCATAAACGAAAATAGTCACCACACTAGAATTTACTGAAGACTTAGTACTTTGCTAAGAAAGTTGGCTGCTTCACAATGCTCAGAATCTTCGCAGCACTCCTGCTACACACAAATATACTTACATGATTGGCATTTCTACAGTTTCTCCTAACATATCTCTATGTTTATATGCTTGTGGTTCTACAGTGTTTTCTCAGCACAGCATTAAGATCAAGCATTGGCCAGGCATGGTGGCTCATGCCTATAATTCTTACCCTTTGGGAGGCTGAGGCAAGAGGATCACTTGATGCCAGGAGTTTGAGAACAGCCTGAGCAACATAGCAAGACCCCATGTCTACATAGAAAAATTAACCAGGCATGGTGGCCTGCGCCTGTAGTCCCAGCTACTCAGGAGGCTGAGGCAGGAGGATCCCTTGAGCCCAGGAGTTTCAGGTTGCAGTGAACTATGATGATGACACTATACTCCAGCCCAGGAACAGAGTGAGATCCTATCTCAAAAAAAAAAAAAGAGCAAGAGCAAGCCTCCTAAAACATTAGTCAGATCATAATACTCCACTGGTCAAAATCCTGAGGTGGCTTCCTACTTTATTCGTAAGAGTTAAACTCCTTTTGGGTTTATAAGTCCCACATGATCTCTGCTTTCTTTTAGGCTTTCTTCGAGCTGTTCCCTCTCCCTAGAACATGCTTCACAAAGATATTCGCTTGGCTAACTCCCTCTTCTTCAAATTTTTGCTCAATTTTCTATCTATTTAATACTCTAGCCTGCCCCACACCCTCCCTGGTT